AGTATAGGGCCCGGGCCCAAAAGGAATTGGCTTCTGAGTCTGACTTCCTCTAAGTATTAGGAGCTTTTTGTGTTCCGGTCCCTTCGGGGAGTTCCTGAGTCTTCGGCTCTCAGGCGCGGAACCTGTGCACAAAGCCAGCTTGGAGTTTTGGATGCTAAGCGCTGACTTGGGATTTCTTCGACGTCTGATGTGATGGAGTTTCGCCGTAACTACTTGTTGGCCCCCTCATTCTCCCACAATCATTCTTGTGAATCTCAAGCCTTCTTTTGCTCCGAAAGTGTCGGACCGAAAAGAAATGTGCGGTGCCTTTTTGTGGTTAAAGCCAAGTTCCTCAAAACCCCTCAGTCTTGTAAGCACCCAAACCTCAGGAGCGACCGGAGCGACTGAATCAGGTGAGCTTCGTCTCGCAGCTCGCCCTCCTGGCAGGAGGCCAGCTGGGAGCTTCCGAAAATTAGGGGGTACCTTACTTTGGGGTCCTTATAATAAGCATCCTACTATGTAGGGTACTATATTGGGGTCCTCTATTTTCGGAAACCCCCAGCTACACCTGAAACTCAAGCAGCGAGAAGGTGAAACAGGGAGGTGTCGGGGAGTCTCGGGGATGCTTTGCGGGGTCAGAAATCAAATCAAGGTCGTAAGTCGCAAGATGCGAGGAGAGCAGCCCGCAGTTGATACCGCCGGCTTGAGTCATCCTTAGCAATTAATTACTCGTCCAGGCACCATCGATGTCAGTGGAACCGTCGCCACAGCATCATCATAGTTAGCATCATCATCTTCGTCGTCATCCTCATCATCATCGTGGCAACAGGATCACATGCCAGTACACAAAAACCTGAGCATGATGCCCAAGTCCCTGAGAGCAATCTTGGAGGCTTGTGTGGCATTACCCTTTCATTTTCAATCTGAGCATGGCTATCTGAACCAACCATCCAAAAATTCAACCGCTGTCATGTGTCTCGTCCGCATATATATATGTGTGTGTCTCCTCTCTGTCACCCTCGCCCTCGTTTTCCCGCCCTCTTCTCTCGCTCTCTCTGTGCCTCTCTCGCTCTCTCTTTGTCTCTTTCTCTGCCTCTCCCTCTCAACTCTCTCTCCCTCTCCTTCTTCTCCGTGTCCATCTCTATCTGTCTGTCTGTCTGTCTGTCTCTCTGTCTGTCTGTCTGTCTGTAGGATAGATGGATAGATGGGCTTGTTCGAACAATCTAGAGCAGACTCCGACGACATCCAAGCCGCTTGGCGTCAAGTTCTCGCTGCGAGGTGTGCGGTATCGCCTCAAGGCCTCTGTGACAGGGGCCCAGTTTCGAGCAGGGCAGGAACCCTGAGCCGCAAAGCCTGGATGAAGCGTGGGCGGAGGCCGTAGGGGCCGTGTGGTAGTCAGGGTATAGTCATGAGCATGGCGAAGCTGTTATCAGATTCATAGCCATAGCCACTTGAACCTTAGGTTGTATGCATAGTGACACCATTCAAGGGGATCACCGTAGAGCATGCATGGCAACGACGAAAGAACCGAAGCAGTCGGGGTGACAGTGATCGCCGCGCTACTCATCAAAGAGGCTTTCGAGGTGAAACCCACTGAATAAGTGCTGCAGTTCATGCGCACTGAGACGACTACCGATCCTGCTTTCTAACATTCAAACGCCACTGGCAGTGACATGAAGCTACTCATGATTCAAGGTAGCGTTGAGTCTCTCGCCACCACGGCATGGTCGTATGGCCTGAGGCTGAACCCCAGCACCTTGAGTCCTACCTCTGGGTCCTGGGCCTTGCAAAGCCACCAGGAGGCCTTTGTTCACGTCCCGGTTGTTGACACCAGGGTCTAGGTCCGTCTAGGTTTCCTTTATAGTGCGTACTTGGGCTGGGGATTCTCGAGCCTTAGGCATTAGGCTTAGGTCTTTACAGCTGGGATGCAGTTGCAGCTTAGCTGGGTTTGTTCTGAAATTGCTTGCGCTAGAGCCGCCAGGGGATACTTGTGTTCAGCAGTTGCCCAGGAGGACAGGGGATTCGTGTATGGGTTCTAAGGTTGAAGTTTCGATCGGTATGCTAAAGCTCGAGCATTCTGTCCCTTTTTGCTTTGTCCCCAGGCTGCTGAGGTCAACATTGCTGTGTATATTCAGTACACATAGTCACAGTAAATGAACAGCCTCAGCGATAGGTCCCCCCCCAACGCTCGACATTCAGGAGCCCGGGCTTCATTTGTCACCTTAGAGTGAAACCGACAGACATGTGACTTAGCGGAAGAGCTTCATGAGAACTCTCGGCCAGCTGCTCTTTGCGCAAAGTCCATGCAATTACATGGGCAGCCTAAACCCTAAACCCTACATCCTAAACCCTAAACCCCTAAACCCTAAACCCTAAACCCAGGGTAGGTGGACCATTGGTGGAACATAAGCAGATCCGTGATTCCATTCACCGCCTCACCAGGACAAAGCACTGCAAGACTAGCTGCACAAAGAATCGGACCTATACGCTTTGGACGCTAAAGCCCCATAGACTTGAAGCTCTCAATTAAAGCTCTAGAAGAGCCAGGGTCTACTTGACGTGGGGACTCTGGCGTCCCCTGCGCTCTCCGCCGCTCTCCAAAGCTTCGAGGTACCCTTTCCATCCGGGCAGGGTTCAATCTTTGGCGGTGTGAAAGCGTGAGAACAAGTGCAAGCATGGCATTTACAATTCACAAGCATGGCAATAATGATCAGGATGATATGGTTGTGGAAGGATCTTCGGCATGATAAAGGTTGTAAGGACTGTAAGGTGCGAGTCAGAAGTAATTCGGAGGACGACCAGTCAGTCGGACGTGCATCCTCATGATCTGTTTCTGTCCAGCATGCCGATGAGCATCCTCACGTGTTTGTTGTGCATGTGCCGCAGCTTTACAAAGTCAAGGAAGCTGCGAGTCATTGGTCCGATTAGCTTGAATATAGCACATATAGACTTGATGGTGCTGGCAGCCGAGAATGGGGGCACGCCCAACATAGAGGCGTGGTACATGGTCCCTGAGAAGCAGTTGGTTTGTATGCAGCACAACTTCCGGCGCACGGACCTTGCTTGCAGGCATGTGTGAACATTCGCATACATAGACGTGGAGCGTTGGCGGTTTGCAGCAGGCAGTTGTCGCCTGCATCTAGCATCAACATCCCACAACTACGCCGGCAGTTTAGCAATACTTATAGTGGATGAGTATTGCAAGTAGCTATAACCATGGAGGGAGAGATGTCGATAACACAAGGACTCAGGACCAACTAACAGCGGCGATGGTGGTGGTGCTCATTGATAGCCGTCAGAGTAGAGGCAAAACTTTCGATCTCCGACGACGACCACCACCGCCACTGGAGTCATTAGAGTGAGGCCACGGCCCGAATCTGGGGATCGTAGCTTCATACGGGCTGGGACCGCTAGGATTTGCCACTTTGAGGGGTTTACGGTTGGTGTGGTGTTCAGTCAAAAATCACTCACATGCTTTCTCTCAAGCCGTGAAGCCGCCCACCTACTGTGAAGACGCAAGGCCTCCGGTAGCTTTTGGCCACCATGCTTCGCCTTCGAAACCTCTCCGGACTCGAGCTTCTTGCGGCCAGGGCGGAGGAGGTTGCTGCCTTGGCCGATGCACGGCACGCTTGCTGCTTGAGATGGGTGCCCGACAAAGGCGCGGCAAGAGTACAAGTGTGGGACCTCTTTACGCGACAAGTCGACGAGGTGAGATGGACGTGTTGCGCTTGTCATTTGGTTACGACAAGAAACGAGCGGACACTCGCATCCGAGAGTGTGTGGCCGTGTGTGTTTATATATATGTATATATGTATACATACATACATATATATATATATGTGCATGTGTATGTATATGTATACGTATGCAAACATGCATATGTATATGTATATGTATATGTATATGTATATGTATATGTATACGTACGTGTGTGTGTGTGTATGTCTAGATGCCCTGAACTTCTTAGACTTCGTGAAGAGGGAATATGTCTTGTGGATGGCTTGCCTCAATTCTCTGCGGCCTGGTCTTCATTTGAAGACCAGGCCGCAGAGAATTGAGACAGGCCATCCACAAGACATATTCCCGCTTCGTCAATGGCGTTGCGTCCGCCATTCTGCAGCAAGCTCGTCCAGGAGTTGCCATGCTGATCTTTGTGAGCTTTGGCACATTTGGTCAGCTGGCCGAGGGTTTACACACAGCTACAACAAAATCCCGCCTGAAGTGTACAGACAAGCACATGAGCCCCGGGCTGCGAAAGACAGGGAAGCACGCGAGTTGCAGCCAACTCACGTGTCTCTCTGTCTTTCACTCGCTGCACAGCTTCCAGCTCCTCTGCAAGAGCGTGCAAAGAAAGGCAGTAGGACGAGCCGTGGTACAGAGCCTTCAATGGCGTGATAGTTTCCATCAAGAAGTTCTTGATGGAAACTATCATGCCGTTTGCTTTCTCCAGCTCCTCTTTGTAGCCCTGTGGCTGAGGCATGGGTTGAATGGCTCTCGTATTGCCACACTTAGACCATCAAGTTTTCGCGAGAGCAAACCGACCTCGGCTTCCAGGAGGGCTTGAACCGATGTTTGCTTTGCGGACTTTGCCTGAAAGCACTCGCACTTAGTCTACTGCTACTTGCTGTTGCAAGGCCTCTACTGCTACTGCTACTGCTACTGCTACTGTTGCTGATACTGCTGCTACTGCTACTAGTCCGCGACCACTACGGGATTACGGCTGCTACTGCTACGACGACGACGAGTAGTTTACCTACTACCGCCTCTGCTGCTGCTAACTGCAGTTGCTCCTGCCCCGTAATCTGCCCGCTGCTGTTGATAGCAGCGCCAATGGTGACCACGTCATCATGTCAATCATTATGATCAATGTCGCCTATATCATGCATATCTGCATATCAACCTGGCTCACTGTTGGGAGATCACTGTCATCATCACCATCATCGTTATCATTATTCTGCTCATTACCGTCATGGTGGCAATTCAATTGTCCGTCGTCCTTTGTGCCCTCATCACCCTCTGCCATGATCGTCAGTATGAATCCCGGAGCCCTTTCCAAAGCCATGAGCCCAGGCTGCCGAGGTCAAGGATCAGACAGCCGAGAATCGCCGTTCCCCGAACAAAGCGGCGGCTTCGTCGGTGCTGGCAGATCTCGGAGTGCTTGCTTACCACGTGCCACCGACAGGCCTGACCCAATGAATTGCTGTGACGTACTATCCCACGGAGACTGCTTCAAAATCACGAAGCCGCCTCAGGCAACTATCCACCAAAGGCTGTGCCATGGGAGCCTCAGAGCGGCATCCAGGACTCCGGCATCAGCCATCACCTGCTCCATCATTTTCCATCAGCTGCGTCGTCTCTTGCACCGTCGTCATCGGCAGTCGTCATCTTCCCCGCCTGCACAACCGTCACAGCTACCGCGGCCATCACCCGCCCTGTCATCACCACCACCGTCTTCCAAAACCATCATCATTCGCGTTGCCACCACCACATGATCATCAGGGTTGTTCAGCGCTCATGATCCTCGCCTTACGTCGTAAGCTGATGCGGTTCTTTTCAAGCGCTCCACACCGCTTTGAAAGGCTCCCGGCTCCGAGTGCTGCCACGTTCAAACGCAAAGGCATCATGAGTTCCGGTTTAGGGTTTAGGGTTTAGGGATTAGGGTTTAGGGTTACAGGGTTTAGGGTTTAGGGTCCTTTCTTGGCGCATCCGTTGAGACGCTTCCCGCGGCGTGGGGATTCCAGCGGAAAGACATTCGCAGGACACGAAGCTGAAGCAGATCCGGGATGCAAGAGGCTACAACTATGCAGACATCATCACTTGCTCGGAGGCCGGATGGGCCTAGGCTTCGTCTTTCACTTGCACACGCGAGTGCGCAGGCAGCGGGCACCTGAGATTATGGAGACTCATCAAAGTTAGGATCAGATGCTCGACGCCTTTGTTGGCAGCAGGGTAGAGGTATAGACGTAATGGACTTACTTGAGATTCGTGTTGATATGTCGATTTAATGAGGTGCTTCCCAGACCTACGTCTTGACAGGAATGCCTTCCTGACTACCACAACAAGCTGAAAGCATTCTTCGAGGAGCACATCCACTCCGACGAGGAGCCAACTGGCGCCCTGCTTGGGGTTTCAGAGCAGTGCCATAGGAGAATGTGACAGTCCCGGTGCTGCACATGACCGTACTTAGAACCACATCTGGACTCTGGCAGCGTGCAGGCGTCTGCTTCACAGGAGGTTCGGTACATCCTGAAGGGCAGTGGGTACTTCGACGTGCGTGACACCGAGGTGCGGCCACCACTATCTAACGGAACAGCGCGAGCTACAAATTGACAGAAATCTGTGATACTGCGGCAGCATCTGCTTTGGCAGGAATTTGAATTGAAGCATCGCCGTCTAGTGCTGCGCACCTCCCTGTAACCTCGTTCGCCGTCTTGAGCAGCTGCATGGTATTGTGTATAAAGCATGCGCAGCACTCTTCGAATTCATTCGCTTGAGCGGCAGCCTTCCAGCGTAGAGCACAAGCCAGGTAAGAGGGACCTTTTGAGGAGACATTGGTGCCGAAAGTGGAGTTGTAGCAACCAGAGCAGCCCTGTCATCAATTGGCCGATGCCTACGTACAGGATCAATGGATCCGGATTCAGCTCAACGCGGGAGACTTGATCGTTCTCCCCGAGGGCATTTACCACAGGCCCTGCCGCAAGACTGCGGTTTCGTTGCGATTTCCGCAGAGCTTGTACGATTGCTAGACATGATGTATCTATGTCTATGTCTGTTTGTCCGTCCGTCCGTCCGTCCGTCTGTCTGTCTGCCTGTAGGTATGTATGTATGTGCGTATGTGTGACCATAGGCAATAGGAGTGGGGGTGACTGCTTGTGTTCATGCAAAGGTCATACTGAGAACCAACTATGTAGGCCTTGGGACCCCATGCTGGCTGGGTGGGTACCTTCCAGGCCTTTTTTTGGGCCTCGGGCCGTTGGCACTCAGACTTCAGGGTATGGGGCCGGGGGCAGGGGGGGGGGGGGTTGTTCAGAGGTTCAGATTTTACTACGGTCCATACCAGCTTTAGAGTGGCCGTAGCTTGAAATGCCCGGTGGTGCAGGTTTACCATGGACACGAAGAACTTCACCCAGGCAATGCGCCGGGGCCTTGGCGTCTCCTACCTTTGCAAAGGTGATTCATCTTTAGATAGCCCAAAAATAAAGAAACCCACATTCTTGGAGCTCCAAACCCCAGAACGGAAGATGCTGCGTCTTGAGGCCTCTTCAAAGGAGCTCCTTGGTTAGCACTGGCGAATCTATAGGCCCTCATTTATAGCAGTCTCAAGCCAACTCCTACCCCCACTTGCACAGTTCTGTCTTAAATTCCAAACCCTTGATGAACCCTAAACCCTAAACCATAAACCACCCTAAACCCCTAAACCGTTATAGGAGCCCAGCCCAGCCGAGGTGCCCGTGTGGACTCCGATCAACCGCCCGGCCGATGCCCACCTGTCCCGAGAGCGAAGCTTGGCTTCAGAGGATCTGCAATTGTTGTTTTGTTTGTTGTTTTTTGTTTTTTCATGCTGTGTTATGTTTTTTAATTTGATTGCATCACATTTATTATTGTAGCTAGGGCTAGGGTGACTTCTGATGTTTGCTCTTGGAACAACAGGGTTACATCCCCGACCAAGACCAACCGCGAACTCCAGGCTACCTGGCCCGTTTCGGGCATTTCGCCGAGGAGCAGAGGCTAAGAGCCAACATCGCGCCACTTGGTGCATAGTACTAAGAGTAATAATAGTAATAATAATAGTAATAATAGTAGTAATGGTAACAATAGTAATAATGATTCATTGGTGCGAGTTTTGGGCCGAGGGGGAAAAGGGGTTGCTAGCAAAAATGAGGGATTGGGCGCCGAGGGGCTTCTTATGTTGTCAGGCCCCACAGCTCTCCAAAATTTACGTCTGGTGTTTGTGTCGCGCTGGGCTTGCGGGAGGTCCTTCTAGCTATGATAAGGACAACCGGAATAGAACACACATGCGGCGACCACCTGTCTCAGTGGCTAGCAAGTCCTTGGGGCCTTTGTCGGCAGAAGCAGAAGCTCAGCATGCATGACACCGAGTTTAGCTAGTCACGCTAGCCTAGCTGCTCGCTGGTGCCGTCGACAAGGAAGGCCGGCAACATCTCTGCCAATCTAATATACGTGGCCAGAAGGCAACCCAGCTTCGAGCATATCGGTTCCACGTCTAGCCTGCTACACTGCTACACACACATAAAACCAGAACACGACAAGGCATCTGCAAAACTTCATCCTCCGAGGGCCTGCTTGAGAAGCTTCTTCCAGCTGGGCTGGTGTGTTGGCTCTTCGGGCACGGGCCTCAGCATGTCTGAGCTGACCCGTGTGCTGAACGCCTAAGCCCTAAACTGCAACCTGATCGAGCACCACTCTGCCGTATGCAACAGCTCTTGTAGAATTGCTCGGTGGTGGTGAGCCCGCATTGAAACCGATACCGCACACAAACGATTTTGAACAAACATATTGACAGATTGATCCGCACAATACAGAGATATCCTTAACACAGTGTAGACCCAAAAACCTACCTTAAGAGCCTTACCAGATTCCTTCTTACGGCCCCATACTTTTCCTAAACCCTAAGCCCGTAACCCTAACCCTATAGCCTATAAACCCAATTAAAGGAGCTCCTGGATCCCGTAACCCGAAGCCTATAGCCTATAAACCGAATTAAAGGAGCTCCTGGATCCCAGGGGCTATGGCCGCGCGTGTGGGCAGCGGGTCCCACGCCCCGGTGCTTTCAACACCCAGCGGGGTGCCCAAGGAGCTCCTGGCGGAGGAGGCCTCGGACGTGGCAAACTAGAGCCAGAGGGTTTAGGGTTTAGGGTTTAGGAGGGTGAGCTTTTGTGGCGTTGGGGTTTGAGGGTCCAGAGTTGAGGGCTTTAGGGTAAGATTTCAGGTAGTTTTTGAGTGGTTTAGGGTTGTAAGCTAGCTTTTGCAGCACGCTTGGAAGGGGGTCTAGCTGCTCCTTCTCCACGTCCTTTCCTGAATCTCAACTATCATTATTCATTATCTTTGCTAGCATTACGATCAACATGTTCAGTACTGTAATTAGGAATGATCGTACCCAAACCTATAACCTTATGCCTATGCCTTATTAAGTCGAGATGCCATAAAGCCCTAGAGACCCTATGCCCGAAAGCCCTAAAGCTCCAACACCCCAAAACCCTACGCCCGAACCCTAAAGACTAAAATTTCTCACAGCCCAAAAATCCCAAGCCCAGTAAGCAGGACATCTTCCTCCTCGCCGGCCCTGGGGGCGCAGGCGAGCAGCTCAAGGAGCCCAGCAAAGCCCTGAAGGCCCAGCCGTGGAGGGGGGGCTACAGGGAGGGATTCCTAATAAGGGAGCTTCCGAAAATAAGGGGTACCTTATTTTGGGGTGCTTATAATAAGGGTCCTACTATATATTTGGGGTACTATATTAGGGTCCCCTATTTTCGGAAACTCCCATATTAGGGCTCAGGGTCTACAGGGTTTAGGGTTTACGGGGATTCCTTACATGGAGCGACATGAGTGAGAGTTTCGCGGTCGATTCAGTTTGCGTTGAGTTCCAGGTCTCCGACAGCGCGCAGGTCTTCATGGCCGTCTTCGAGAAAAGGCCAGCCTGCTGATTCATGCGAGTACCTGGTAGCTGGTAGGACCGTAGGAACCAGCCAGGCCATGTCCTTATTAAGCTGCAGAAGCTGTGCTTGTCTTGCCGGTTCCGGCAAGGACCGACGTGAGGGCCGTTTGCCACATCCACTCGGTTTCCTCCGTCCTGGTGGCGGCCAGCACGGACCAGGACGGATGATGCTCGGGCAATGGGGGTACAAACTGTCTTCCGTCAGGAAGTATGTTTTTGGCGTTTGTGTTCAACAACACAGTTCTGCTGGCATCACCTGGCTTTGCCGAGACAGGAGAGTGTTCTGACAGCCATCATGTGTTTTAGACTCATAGGCTTAGAGTTTGGAGTAAGCTGGATCGTCGACACGAGCCGGGCAGATGCTTCAGCATGGAAGATGTCTGCTCTTACAAGCAGCTTTGGGAATCTCCGTACAAGGCTACGAACCCTGCATAGGGATACTATTTCTTTAGCCTTATAGTCCCTGCACAGTTTTCATCATAATTATACTAGAACTTCCCCCAACGGCCCCAACAGCTCAAAAGCCTCTTCTCATTTTTCGGGCCCTGATCCTGGCCCCCCTGATCAGGTCTTGGAGGTGCGAGAGCTGGAGATGATCAAAGGTACATCGGTCCATGATCAGGTTGATTCTATCTAAGTCTACCAGAATATTATATACCCGTCATGAATATAGTATACTAAGGTAGTATAGTAGTGCCCTAATCGAATACTATGCATTTTGACTATACAACGTACAATGTACTATTATCTTTGCTGCTAGTTTGCTATCCTCGTTGTTCAGGGATCTGGCCAGATTTTCGAGGTCAGGGTGCCCACGTCTTGCTCTGGAGTACCCGAAGACTCTTACTGCGCGCCAGGGCGCTGACCTACATGTCAAGAAAAACAGGTGCAACTATATGTTGCTCTGCCCAACTGTACGACTCATCACAGCACGATGAAAGCATGCGTGGAACCCTTTCAGAGATCGTGCATCTGCTTCACAAACTGTCCCTTGTTGCTGACTGAGAGCTGTACGACTTGTGAAGCAGATGCTGGGTACTGTCGTCAAAGACTCTACTTCGCCTTCCCTCCCTGCAGACTGCCTGCGGACAAGGCTTCGGGATCCCTGGCGATGGGGTCTTGCAAGTGCCTGTGATAGACAACAAGGCCTGAAGAGGTAGCTGAGGTTGCCGCGAAGTTCAAGTTATCATTGTCTGCAGAGAGTGGAAATGTGGACTGGTGAAGTGGCCTTGGAACGGCCTTGAACTTGCGGCCCTTTGTGCAGGCACGGGAGCCGGAGCTGGTGCCGGACCTCCTCAAGGCTCTGGAGCGCGTGCCCAACGCCCCGGCGGTCTTGGTTCGAGCTGCTTGGCTCGCATGGGTTCGCGCATGGAAAATGGTTGTATGATCTGAACTGTCTTGATAAAAATAAGAATCCTGAGAGGGTAGTTAGAGCCCCTTGAAGCACGGCACTCTTCCTGCAACTGCGAGCAGGACATTGGGTCGCACAGTCAGTCAATGGCTCCTTCAAGTTGCAGTAGGGGCCCGCCAGATATGCGACTCCTGATTTCGCTGAGGGTCACGGCGCCTACGTCTTCGGCAGCACCGCAGAGCCGGCTGGCAAAAGATAATATAGGGGCCTAAATAAGTACCTACATTATTTATTTTGGGGGTTCCTTATTATATTTATAGTATAGTGGGCCCCAAAACCCTACTCTAATTATTTAGGCCCCTACATTACGGCAGGGTGAATCTGGCAATGATGTTCCTCTTCGCATTGGTTTGCCAGGATTGCTCGTCTCGGTGCTTTGCAGTCTAGACTTTGGTGGAAGCGGGTCACGTCCCATGGAGCAGGGCTAAACTCCAAGAGTCTTGGAAGGAAGGCCAAGATCGCCACCGAGTGCTTGGGCTTCATCCTGGATGTCGTGGAGAAGCAGAGGCCGACGGAACAGCGTTTTCAGGACTTTGCCGTTTTGCAGCAACGCAACAAGGCAGTTGTGCCTACTATCTATATCTATTTTTTGCCTGCACCCGCCTTCATCCTGAACCTCATGGCTGACTCACTTGATCTGGCTGGCAGAGTTGGCTCACGGCTCATCTGCTTGTTCGATCAATATTGCTATCAGCTATCATGACCAAAGTCGTTATTTTGTTCGAGAGTGGTTCAGCGGTTTATCGTAGAGGTGGGGGGTGGGGTTCAGGATTGGCAGTTTCAGGCTTCCTGTAGCAGGGTTGGATTGGATCTAGCGCAGTGGTCGGGAGGTGCGTGGTTGAAGGGGTTTCGGCATGATAATATGCAAATCCCTTCGACACGAACCTAAGAATTGAAAGTCGGGCTTCAACTGGTCTGCATTGAACCCCAAACCCTAAACTGCAAAACCTTCAACCCTAAAGCCCAAAACTCTATAAAGCTTCAACCCCCCAGCCCTAAACCCCAAGCCCTCAGGGCCTCAGGGCGCCTGGCTCTGCAGGCCTGGCTGAAGGTTCTAGCAGGATTTCAGAGGTTCTCAGGGGATTTCAGAGGATCTCAGAGGATCTGAGAGGATTTCAGAGGATTTGAGGGATCTTTCGGGGTTTGGGGTTTGGGGTTGAGGGTAAGCGAAGCAACTTCAGCAACACGTGGTGTTGGGGCAGGGGCGGCATAGCAAAAGGCGCAGCCCCTCATCATCGAAATTGTCATCAGTGTCTGTAATAGCAACAGTATGAACCGCAGCAGAAGTGTTGCAGCAGAGCCATCGTGTCAGCTCCGGATGGACAGGCGCCGTTGAAGCGTCAACGAACAGGGCCATCCGTCGTTCTGCTCGATGTGGAGGGAACCACTACGCCGATCTCTTTTGTGAAGGAGGGCATCAGAGGGCCTCTGGTTTGAACCCGACTTGAGCATTGCTATCGATGACCGTGACTATGCTTAGTGGCAGGCACTGCTTTGCAATAATGAGCTACATCAATCTAGAACAAGCTGGAAGGCGCCGCATGTTGCCGTGCATCGCGTTTTCCTGCATGTCGTGATATTCCACAGCGTGAAGCTTTGTCATTGTTGAATCGGGAGAGTGCGGTTTGCGAGGCATTGTAAGCTTTTGCCCTCCGAAACCTCGACCCCTAAACCCCCAAAAGAGGTGATAAAAAAAAACCCAACCCTTGCAGGATAAGCTCTTCCCCTTCGCCGCTGCCTCGGTGGAGGGTTGGGCACCCGCTGCCGGACCGGACCTCTCTGAGGCAGAGTCGGGCAAACTGCGTCTCGTGCGTCAGAGCTTGGGGTATAGCTTAGGCTTCGAGTTTCGAACGTTTGGGGGTTTGTGGGGCTGTAGGGTTTGAGCATGCCGCCTTTCGAGTGATCCTTTTCACATACGTGGCACCCTGTACTGAAGAGGTCTTATCGAAGGGTAGTTAGCTCCCTATCTGTAGACCAAGCCGACACCCCACCTCGTATCCCCAAATGTTTCATAGCTACAAACCCTAAACCCTAAACCCTAAACCCTAAACCCTTGCAAGCAACTTGCAACGCTCCTGGCCGCGGAGGTGGTAGCGCAGTTCGAGGCACAGTGTCAGGAGGCACCCGCCGCCCTGAGGGTGCGAAGGTTTTATTTTGTGACACTGTCGGACAGGGCCGATTTTTGTAGATGGGTTGGGGTTTGGGGTTCAATAAGGGGTATCCTCATAGAGTGGCCTGAGGCCTTTGACACTGAGTGGAGCCTTGTCCTCAGGATGGTGTGCCCTTTGACACGCTGGCGCCCATTAAGGAGGTCCGGCGGCTGACGAAGGAGACCTCATCTCTCGGTGTAAGGGTTACTTTATTATCAGGGGTTTTCAGAAGCCCCCTTTCGGCGTTCGTGCTCTTTCGGGTTCCGGGCTGGTGATGGTGAGGGCGTTTAGGGCTCAGGGGCAGGGCCTCTGTCACCTGGTCCAGCCCAGCTTTGGATTGCACGGCTCATGAAGCCATGAAGGGTCGGTGAGCCTTCTTGCCCAGAGGAGTGGATCGCAAAGGATCGCAAGGTGCCTGCCTTGAAGGAGCCGATGCTATGCCTCAATGCAAGGGTTTTCCCCCTCCCGAAATTATGGCTACACATGGCAGCATGCTTCAGTGCGGTAGAACGGGTATTGAGACCTGATGCGAAATTTTGCTCATGTGGGCTGTGCTACTTTTGTGACGGTGGGGGTTGCAATTGCATGATCTGCCAATATGGGGCTGTTGTGATCCAGCCGACCGGTGCGACAGTGCTTTAGCGTGCATGTACATATCACGCCCGCTCGCAAACGGCAGCGAAACCTTGGATGTCAACGCTCTCACGGGTCTTGTCTCTCTCTTTCTCTTTCTCTCCCTCCAGCTCGCAGCTGAAATCCCCATGAGGACCTGCAAGGACGCCTTTGGCGATCCGGCTACGAACGGGGAGCGCTGCAGGGCGAGATGTTTGAGGCCAGGCAAAGCCTCGCGAGCAGATTGGCAGAGCCCCGTAAGCTTCCACAGAGCTCCGGAATCCTTGGAAAGATGCCCCTAAACCCTAAGGCCCTAAACCATAAACCATAAAACCCTGAAACTGAAACCCTAAACCATAAGCCATAAAACCCTGTACAACTGAAAAGATGCCGGAAGGACACGCCCAAAGCAATGGCTGCCTGGGTGGCGGCCGGGCAGCGCGTGGCGATCTTCTCTTCGGGCAGCCGAGAGGCTGAAACAGGGGCCATGGCTGGTCGAGAGCAGCTTTGGAGTGACCGGAACAGAGCCATGTTTGGGGGGGGTTCCGCATAATAATTATAGTATATAATGCGGGCCCCAAAACCCTATTCCAATTATTTCGGGTTCCTTATACTAATTATAGTATAATGGGGGCCCCAAAACCCTACTCTAATCATTAAGACCCCTATATTAGGCAGCATGCGAAGGCGCAGAGGCTGATCTTTCAGTACTCGGACAAAGGGGATCTGACTCCCCACATTGCGGCGTACTTCGATCCGAAAGCTGCACAGGCCCGCCGCCGAGACTTCAGGGCTTTCGGCCAAAGTGAACGGTCGGTTTTCACAAGCTGAAGGGCATCCCTGTGCAGTTTTTGCAGTTTCGACAGGGGGCCTTTTTGACAAGGCATTGTCAACCGGCTCATCTCCTTTCCCGTCCCCACCCAGAGCCGAAGAAGTCCCTGCGCAGGCTTCGAAACAGGAGGCCAAGGCCTACGTGGAAATTGCCCTGTCGCTGGGCATCGCGTGCAGCCAAGGCACCGCTGATCCTTCCGTGCTCGCCTTTCACAGAGAAACAGCACCTGAAGTCTGAGAATGTCTGAGAGATAGTGACTGATTTGCGGTGAATCCTTGTGCCACAGAATTTCGAAGCAGCACCTCCACAGTTCAAAGTTTGCGAAGCACTTCAACTCACTATAAAGATACACATCCTCTGCGGAACACGGGGGTGAAATGCTCTACGTCCGCAAACCTGCGAAGCTGTATAATTAATGCAATCCTATTGAAATCCCAAATACTTGTCACCTTCCCAAGATAGCAGACACTCTCCGAGACAGGCCTCTTTTGCACAGACGTCCTCGGCGAGGCAAAAGCCGCCCGGGAGGTGCACTCAGCGCATTCGGGGTGGTTTTTGTATTGAGTGTAAGCATTCAGAGACATCTTCGGAATTGCGGACTCTCACGTTGATGTGCCTGCTCATGGGCGGAATGATCCAAGAACCGTACCGTATGATTCCGGACCGAGTCGTCCCGGTGAGCCGCAGAGATGTGGCAGTTGGACAGTACAGTTAAACGGCAAACCTACAAAGCCAAAACCAAAAGCCTTTGAAGCCAGGCCTCACAGTCTGACATCTTGCCATGTCCCGACCCTGCCGACCCTTCCCTTCTGGAAACAAGCCGAGACCTTGCCCCAAACTCCCAAGCCAACGCTCCTTGCGGGCTGCCAGCGACAGCACTCGATCCGGAAAAGCCCGTCAGCCCAAACCTGACCTCCCCGAACCTTGTGACGGTCTAGCTCACCCTAATCTCTTAGAGTCCCGGGCGCTAGACCCCAGAGCCAAGGAAGCCGAGACTTGTACACCTCGACTCCCAGACCTTCGTTTATGTGTCGAACTGCGAGTGGAAGCAGAGAGCAAGAAAGCACCAACCCTAAACCCTAGTCGAGAAGAGTTGGTGTGGTTGGTGCGGCGCGATAACTGGGTGCGCCGCTATTCCTACAGTAAACGGCGTATCCACCGTGCGCACACAGTTTACGTACCCTAAACCCTATAAGCCCTTAAACCCTAAACCCTACCTTAGAACCCCAAACCCACCTTTTTGTAGGTTCTTATTATAAACCCTAATATGGGATTTATAGGGACCCTACAAAAAAGTAGGTTTTGGGTTCTTAAGGTAAAGCCCAGTCACAGGCCGGCTGGCAGACGGTGCTCCTGATCCGGCCTGGCAACGCCCCGCTGCCGACTGGACACGGCTTCCGGGAAGCAAGGCCCCGGTGCTTCAGGGTTTAGTGTTTGGGGTTTAGGGTTCAGGGTTTAGGGTTTAGTGTTTAAGGTTTAGGGTTCAGGGTTTAGGGGGTTCAGCTCTCTTCTTGCTACTACTGTTACTATCGCACTTACGGCTATGACGATGATGATGATGCTGGTGGTGGGGCGTTCCCGGTATGGATGGCAATAGGAAGGCGAGGCCGTATGCATGCCTATAGACATACTTGTGTGTATATGTGTGTATGTATATATATATATATATGTATATTCAACTCACATAAAATAGTGTGTATACATATATATATATATAGAGATGTGTTTCTTTCTGTATTATGATAATGATGATTATTGTTGTCACTGTTTTTTAAAATAAGCATGTATGCATGGCTGGATGTATGTATGGGCGTATACACATGTATGTACTTTTGCGAATGTATGTATGTGTATGGATGGTTGGATGCACACATGCAAACTCTCTCTCGCACTCTGTCTATATATATATATATACACATACACATACAGTTTTTGTGCGTACATGTAGGTGTATGTGTGTATATATATATA